AGACTAAACAGGAAACCAACAGGAAACCAGTTCGTCTGAACAGGAAACCAGGTCGTCTGAACAGGAAAGCAGTTAGACTAAACAGGAAACCAACAGGAAACCAGTTCGTCTGAACAGGAAACCAGTTGGTCTGAACAAGAAACCAGTTTGTCTAAACAGGAAGCCAGTTTGTCTAAACAGGAAACCAGTTTGTGTGAACAGGAAACCAGTTCGACTAAACAGGAAACCAGATCGTCTAAACAGGAAACCAGTTCGTGTGAACAGGAAACCAGTTTGTCTAAACAGGAAACCAGTTTGTGTGAACAGGAAACCAGTCAGTCTAAACAGGAAACCAGTTCATCTGAGCAGGAAAGCAGTTTGTGTGAACAGGAAACCAGTTTGTGTAAACAGGAAACCAGTTTATCCAAACAGGAAACCAGTCAGTCTAAACAGGAAACCAGTTCGTCTGAACAGGAAACCAGTTAGACTAAACAGGAAACAAACAGGAAACCAGTTAGTCTGAACAGGAAACCAGTTTGTCTAAACAGGAAACCAGTTCATCTGAACAGGAAACCAGTTCATCTGAACGGGAAACCAGTTTGTCCAAACAGGAAACCAGTTCGTCTGAACAGGAAACCAGTTCATCTAAACAGGAAACCAGTTTGTCCAAACAGGAAACCAGTTTGTGTGAACAGGAAACCAGTTTGTCCAAACAGGAAACCAGTTCGTGTGAACAGGAAACCAGTCAGTCTAAAGAGGAAACCAGTTTGTCCAAACAGGAAACCAGTTTGTCCAAGCAGGAAACCAGTTGATGTGAGCAGAGGAAGCGGATGAAGGAATCAGCAGCAGAACCAGAGCTCCCAGTTAGCCTGCGGAGCTTCAGCTCTGGCTCAGCAGGTAGTAGGCAGCAGCCGACAGCACGGCGCCACCCAGAGGAACCAGGACCAAGGCGGTGCACCTCCTCCACCACCTCCTGGCCCTCTCCTGCTCGTCGTCCACCTCCTCCTTCCTGCCCCTCCTCTTCCCCCTGCGGCCTCCTCTCTGCTGGCGCTTCTCGAAGGCCTCCAGCTCCTCCTGAGGGAGACATGCAGCAGCTGTAAGGAGGCCAGCTCACATCTGGACAGACTTCAGGAAACAGGACTGACCTGGAGCTTCTTCTGCTCCTCCTCCAGAGCCGCCTTCTGCTCCGCCTCCTTCACCTGAAACAGACGCAGGGCGCTCAGAGTCTGGGTGTGAGGGTGTGGTGTGGATGTGTGTCCGTCTGTACCTGGCTGACTTTCCTCTGCTGGTCTCTGCAGACGTCATCACACTGGAGGACAGTCTGAGCTGAGAGGGAACACAGCACCTCCTGCACAGACCAAGGGGAAACATTAGGGGGCGTGGCTTTATTTAGTGACCGAATCGCTTTGATCACGTAGATAAATTAAACTGGGAAAAAATGAGGACTGAGAACACAGCCCTGAGGGACACCGAGCTGATTAAAGCCTGGATCCTATAAAAATGGGCTGATCTAGCAGATATATTTCTACATTCCAGGATCTGGAAGCTGTTGACTAGTAGAGCAGAACAGGAGCTTTGGCTCCTGCTGACAGAGATGCTAGTAGATGTTTACCTTCTTGATTCTCTTGCAGGGACAGCGCAGCTTCACCTTCTGCTGACATTTCTCCTCACACACACCTGGATGACACACCTGCTTACAGCGATGGCCGCAGCTCAGCTACACAGAGACACGGTTAGCGCTTCAGAGGGAGGCGGAGGAACAAACGCTCTGATGGTTCTTCAAAGGAAACATGAATGAAGCAGAGAAAATAAAGGCTCCTGCTCCGTTTGATCAGAGCTCCTCTCCTGGGTGACCCGGGTTCAGGCTGAGCAGCTCCCACAGCTGCTTTCATCTCCTCACTGCTTCTATAGATCCTGCTCTCAGCTGCCGTACTTCATTATCCTTTAGTCTTCTACCTCTCCTTCAGTGACTAAACCCGTTACAGAAACATTAAAAGTGCTCTATATTAGTCTTTTATAAACAGGAAATCGTTTCTTATCTACTGAATCTGATCAGCTATATGTGGTACAGTTGAATATTTTAATCTGCAATCTAACTAGTAAGTATTTCTGGAGAGTCGTTAAAAAATAATTAGTGATCAGGAACTTCCCTCTGTCCTAATTAAGAGAGTCTAGCTAGTGTGTGCTAACTAGCTGGTGTAGGCTTTTTCTAACTAGCTTCTGTTGATGCCTGTCACTACCTGATCCGTACCAAATAATTACTTATTTCTATCTCTAAATATTGCTAACACAGATCTTTAAAAAATGTTTTAGGACTCATCTTTGACAATTTTGATGCTTTTTACATTTTCTCCACAGCTTCTCTGATCTCTGACGTCATTATGGGACACGCTCAGAGCAGTAAATCTGATTAAACCATCTTTACCTGCATTTAATTTGTTTCTTTCTTTAGATTACGCTCTATATACCATAATGTTAACACTTAAAGAAAACATAAAACCCAAAAAGACTAGATTTAGGTTTAAAACTGAAGCTGGAATAGGGAGCAGCCTAAGATCCCATTTCCTGTGCAGATCAGACAGACGAGTGAAGTAAAGGACAGGATTTTAAGACATTTATTTTCTCAGGAAGTACATTATTAACCTTTAACACATTTTAGTTTAGTACACTTACTATTTTTAGGGAGGGAAAAATGTCATTTAGGTTTTTTGTACATTTAAAATTGAGGGCGATATCTGAGCTGATGGAACGGATGGTGCTTCCAGGACAGATCTGGAAGTGAGATGTACGCTCACTAGAGAAGTATTGCTAATGCATGCTAACCTTCTGTCAGCGCATGCTGACCAGGAGAGACTAGTGTGCTCACTAGGATCCCTGATTTGGTTCTTGTTAACTAGTTCCTGATGATGTATGCTAGCTAGGAACATTGTGTCGGTGCATGCTAGTTAGGTTAGGTACTAGGAGTTTTATAATTATGTGTGGTCAGTGGCCTGTGCTGTTCCATGCAGGCTAGCTTGTGTTAGTTAGTGCTAACTAGCTGGTGTAGGTGTTTTCTAACTAGTTAATGTAAATGTTTTTTAAATA